GTCTTCCCGGTCTACCAAGGACCCGGCCCACCTCGACCGGGTAGTCTGGGTCCTCCGGAGGACCCGGCCTGTCGTTTTGGACACAGCCTTTGTGTCGAACCCAAAGCTCATTACAAAGAAATGTTTTCAGCAGCTTTAATGAAACTTTTAGATTGTTTTCAGATTATTGGCTCATAGTTTCAACACTGTGAGGAAATGTGAGATGAATTAAAATCCAGTGTCGGCATGTGCTGGATCGCAGGTTTACCTGTCGACTGGGGAAATCCTGGCTAAGATGTGTGTTTGGGCTGGGACCTGTGTGTGTGTGTGTGTGTGTGGGGGGGGGGGGGGGGGGTGAATTTGGTAAAGTTTGGGTGTTGTGCAACAGTTTGCTCATACAGAGGTGTGTGTGCTCTGCTCAGCGTGTTTACACCTGGGCTAATCATTGCCAGCTAAGCTCAGGATCCAGAGAGGAGCAGACGTTAGTAACCAGTAAGGTTGGACAATAATCACAAAAAAATTAAACACGATTAATTGTTGGATTCAGCCGATAACGAGTACGATGACGATTATGGGATTTTGCTCTTGCGTGTAGCCGACGTGGTCTTGGTTTGCATTTTTTGGTTTTCCTCGTACTTCAGTTTATGTTGCTGCTTCAGGTGAATTAAACGTGTTTGTAAGGTCAGTGTTAGCTGCTCCACATGGCCTGCTGCCTGTCATCACGCAGCACTGGTTACAGTCATCACAGAACAGCAAATATTAACTGTTGATGGTTTTACTGGTGATTAATTACACTTGGTACAGTTTTACCCAGGTCTCCTGGAGGACCACTGTCCTGCAGGTTTTAGATGTTTCCTGCTCCTCAGAAGGTCTTCAAGTTCTGCAGAAGCCTGTTAACTCCGCCTTCTTACAGATCAGGTGTGGAAGCAGAGAAACATTTAAAGAATGTAGAATAGTGGAGAACCAGGACCAGGACCAGGACCTGGACCCCCAAGCTGGAGGATGAGTCCCTCTCTTTAATTCACTGTAGTGACATCACTGTTTTGGACCGGTCCAATAATGTGACATCACATTTTTGGACCGGTCCAATGTAGTGACGTCACAGTTTTGGACCGGTCCAATGTAGTGACGTCACTGTTTTGGACCGGTCCAATGTAGTGACGTCACTGTTTTGGACCGGTCCAATGTAGTGACGTCACTGTTTTGGACCGGTCCAATGTAGTGACGTCACTGTTTTGGACCGGTCCAGTAATGTGATGTCACTACATTGGACCAGTCCAAAACAGTGACATCACCTTGACGTCACTGTATTGGACCGGTCCAAAAATGTGATGTCACTGTATTGGACCGGTCCAAAAATGTGATGTCACATTATTGGACCGGTCCAATGTAATGACGTCACTGATTTGTACCGGTCCAGTAAAGTGACGTTGTTTTGGACCGGTCCAATAATGTGACATCACTACATTGGACCAGTCCAATAAAGTTACGTCACTGTATTGGACCGGTCCAATAATGTGACGTCACTACATTGGACCAGTCCAAAACAGTGACATCACCTTGACGTCACTGTATTGGACCGGTCCAAAAATGTGACGTCACTGTATTGGACCGGTCCAAAAATGTGATGTCACATTGACGTCACTGTATTGGACCGGTCCAATAATGTGACGTCACTACATTGGACCGGCCCAATACAGTGACGTCACTTTACTGGACTGGTCCAAATTCATCACATTTTTGGACCGGTCCAAAGATGTGACGACACTGTATTGGACTGGTCCAATGTAGTGACATCACTGTATTGGACCGGTCCAATGTAGTGACATCACTGTATTGGACCGGTCCAATGTAGTGACGTCACTGATTTGGACCAGTCCAGTAAAGTGACGTCACTGTATTGGACCGATCCAATGTAGTGATGTCACTGAGGACTCACAAACATAAGACTGATCACCAGATACACAAAGTTTCCTCCTAACATGAATTAGTAAGATTTATTTTAGCTCCCAGATCCTTAAACTTTTATTTAAACTGGACTTAATTTACTGTATGTTTGAGAATTCATTAAATTTAAATTATTTGGATATTTTTGATTTGAGTTTACCTGTTATGAGACTTTAGACTTTATTTTTTTAAGCTGATTAATTTTCAGTTTTAGTTGTAACATTTAAACATACAAACATGACAAAATCTGTCCTAAAATCTACTGTTGGTCCAAACTTTATTATTCTGAATACCTTCCAGAAAACAAACTGGAAAAAACAGATTTCTATTATTATTATTATTATTACTACATGAGTTTCTTGTAATAAAGAGGTGAACACTGACAGGTCTGTGGTTAAAACAGAAGTGTTCAGGAGCAGCTGCTCCTCCTCAGGGAGACGATGACAGACGACTGATTAAAAACCTGACAATCATGTGATTCTTAGCCTGAAAAGACAAATGAACTCTGACCGATCAGGTTACATCAAACCTAGATTTATGTGAACATTTATTAAATTTCTATTTAAATTAACGGATCAAATGAAAGATACTGAAAGCCTGTTCCTACATTTACTCTCACTCCCTGCTCTCATCAGTGATTACTCTGAGCCGAGGGTTCGGTCCGTCATGCAGCTCAGTCTCTGCAGAGACGGCTGGGTTTGAATGAGTCGGAGCATGACTCTGCGTTTCTTCAGTTTGACTGCAGAGACGCTGAGCTAAGCTTTTTCTTCTGAATCGACTCCACGTTGAACCGAGAGCTCGTGTTTTTTGAAACGGATCGTCTGAGCCGCGGTTGCTGTTTTTTTTTTTGGGTGAAGTGGCGTCACTCTCAGACTCTGCCCCGTGTGTAGAACGAGCTGCGTGAATTTTAGTTTTTTTTTAAAACGAAATGAATAGTTTTTGTTTTTAAATGAATAAATAAATAATGCAATTATCTCAGACACTGACTTGTTCGTATTAGATGAGGGCTAAAGAAATAAAAAGATTTTGACCTGGGCTGTGTTCGTCTCCTCTCTCAGGTGTGTCCTGCTGCCTCTCCTGAGCGTGAAGCCTCCTCAGCGYGCTCTCTTCCTGCTCGTGGACTCCATCGATGAGGGCTGCCAGCTGGGCGAGGCGGAGCACAGGTCCTCCCCGGGCTCCCCCAGGACCATCGCCGAGCTTCTGGCCAGCCACCACGAGTTCCTGCCCCCCTGGCTGCTCCTCGTCTGCTCCGCCCGCCGGCAGAACAAGGCCATCACCAAACTCTTCACAGGTACGTGGTCCGCCCAGAAGACGAGGGGGCGGTTCTGAAAGGCGGGGCTTCGTCATCGGTTGTTGTTCGCTTCGGTGTCTGAGCTCAGATCTGCTTCCTGGTTCTGACTCACTTTGTTTTGTTCGTTTAGACGAACGTTTATTATATCCTGATGAGAACAGATGAAGGCAGAGAAACAGGTGACAAACCGTTTGTTTGCATCTGATTCAGTAAACAGATGGAGAAACAGAGTTCCTGCTGGTGCACACACTTTCCTCCCACATCAAACCAGTTATATAAGAACCTGTGGAGGTTTATATTCTGGGTTCCTGAGATCCTTACAAAGTCTTCAAAGACTTTAAATTCATCAATCCAAAAATATGACCTTAATTAGCCTTTAAAAGGTCTTAAATCAGTCTTTCAGAGGACACGTAAGTAGGATGATTCCTCTCAAATATTAGAGAATTGGTAAAAATGAATTTTTTTAAATAAATAAATAACCAAAAGCTTCGCAGCTCGATGTTTTGTGTTAAATATTTGGGTAAAGTTGTAGCTGTTTTTTGTCCCATTTGTGTTTATTGTGAAGCTGGTCTTTAATGTTATTTGAAAGGGCGTTAAAGAGTCTTAAAAAGTATTAAAGGGCCAATATTATGTGTTTCTCAGGCATATATTTAAATACTAAACCATAATAAAGTATCTATGTCACCTTTAGCTGTTATTAAAATGCTGTTTTTATGTTTAAATAGAAAATAAACTTATCTTCTCACCACTTCCTCTTCTAAACACCTTGAAATTGGCCTCTGTCTCTTTAAGAACCTCCTTCTGCTTCTGTCCCGCCCATTTCAGTGTGGTGGGTGGGGGTCGCTATGATGCAGTTTACTTGGCGTCTGAAAAGACATTTCCTCAAAGGTATTTTTAATCTGAAAAGAGCTTCACTGAGTGAGAACTAGTGTTAAGAGCAGCAGACAGTTAAGTTTCACTTTCACTTTCACCAGAGAGCCTGCAGGAGTCATGGGCGGGGTCGGGGAGGTGTGCTCCGTGATGAGGAAGTTCGGCTTAAAGACGCGTCCCAGGGGCGTTTCTGGTCCCCCCATCTGTCGTTTTGCTCCTCAGCATGGCTTCCTAAAAACACTGCAGGATTTCTCAAACATGCATGAATGAGTCAGAGCAAGGCTTTGGGCATGTTTTCATGAGAGTATAACATTATAACATGATATAAAACTCAAAAAAGTTGATTTTACATAATATCGCGTCTTTAAATTGAACTTGCTTTGAACCGTTTCTAAAGCTTTAAGCTTTTTGACGTCACAGCTGAGAAAAACTAGTTTTCTGTTTTGAATTAAATTGTATTTCCTGGTTGATGGTGCGAATCCTCCGTCTGTCCGTCAGCCGCAGATTTTAGTTTTGGTCCAATCTGTTGTTTTGAGTGTCGGAGTGAGTTCACCGATTTCCTGCCAGATTATCTCAGAACTGTCTGTGAATTAAATAATAATCTGTGGATTATTTTTACGATGAGGTCATCTACACCTGCTGCAGTCAGTTAAATTATACCAGTTGTGTTGATTTGTGCAGTTTCAGCTCCAGCTGTTTGTTTCTGTCATTTAATCATTGTTTAACCGTCTACAAACTGTAAATTCATTCTTATGGATGTGAAAACTGAAATCATGTCAAAGTTTGATGTTCGCACTTTGAGTTTTGTAGTTGTCGGTTAAAGTAAATTCATATTTTTATTAAGGTTTTATTATGTTGGTGAAACGATTCCTGGAATAATGTGAGGAATCATTTCACATCTTTAACCATTAGTTATTGCTGATAAACTTATTACGATACAAGTGTTTCATATCGGTCCGTATCAATAATTATTGATTAGTTTAAGATAAAATTGGTCTGACTCAWGTCAAACTTAAAATATCTGAAATCCTGTCRAACTTTTCCTCTTTTATCCACCATTTCCTCTGGAGCTGCTGCATTATTTTCTCCTTTCGCTTCGTGCCGTTCTTTTTTTATTATGAAACCTGAAACTGCTGCTCGCTTACCTGCTTTAACTGTTGGAGCGTCTTATTTACACTTCTGTTTTTTTAGACGCCTCATTTCAGTGTAAAAGCATCCTAAGTAATTAATTTCATTTTAACCCTACGATGGTGGACCGGTCCAGAATGTTACAGCGCTCTGTCGCTCGAATGTGCCGACACGACGTTAGCGGTGAAATGATGGATATTTTATCAGACGTGTTTTATTTTGATACTGAACACGAGTTTATCACGATGAGTTATCCCCAGCCCGTTATTGTTTTACTTCCTCTGATGTTTTAGGTTTTTATTTTAATCTTCTTTTAAAATGAGGAATCTGAACAATCGACTCGTTCTTTAATRCTTTCATGGATTTCTGCCGTTGTTTGTCTTTTTTAAAAAAATGATTTAAATCTGTTTCCTTCAGATTCAGTCTGTGTCGAGTCGCTCTTCATTTCTCCCTCTGAGTTTGTGTTTTTATTTTTCTCTTGATTCACTCGACACCAGACCTGAAATAGACCAGAGAGCTTCAGAAGATTAAATCGAGGCCAAGTGTCCCCTAAAAATACCCTCGTATTGGCTGTGTCCAAAATACGTCACAGCGCCGCGACGAAGGATGTCCAAAACCGAAGACTCCTCCGATGCGGCCGACAAATACGTCCTTCCTTTGGCCCGAATCGAAGGACAGGTCTGATG